TTCTTGCTTGACGAAGTATTCCACTACCCTCTATTGCCCAAATTTTCAAGTTACTCATTCAAAGGAAGACCTTACTCATCTAGTGCACTCAATGAGATTTAGGAATAAAAATGCCCACATTTCAAGTACTATCGACCATTCTCTTTTAAATGGCAGACTCAGCTTTCTTCATGTTTGATTTCGAACCTCTCCCATGCATGGGTGACCGATGCGTGGCCATGCCGATATGAACTTCATTGATATTGTTCTCGCAGATTCGTTCAGATCCAACCTTTTCATTAGTTCTAGTTGAGTATTAGTGATAAATTATTTACAATTATTTTTTTTTTCGTTATGCACTCTTTCTATCAAATATTACGCTCGAAATAAATGTAGAATCACAGCGAGCGTTCTTCACCCTCACCTATACATCGTTGTCTTGTGTTCGTTTTTGTATCGTTTTCGATTAAGCTGTTAATCAAACACACGTGGAGATAATAAGCAGTCGTGTAAAGTCATTAAAAATCAGTTTTTTTTTTCGCCGTAAAAATATCCTTTTTGTTGAGATTATACATCTTGAATAACGCTATTTCTATATTTATGTGATGAGTAATCATCTGTCAAGGACGAGTGACGATAAAACAGACTCATTTATTCGTCAAAAAAAAACACAGCAGATTGGAAGACAATGTAGTTCAGTGAAGCAAGGTATAGTAGTGCGAAACATATTTGCCAATGATATATGGCAAGCATCTCTTTCCAGAAGCCACGATTTCAAAACCCTTTCATTCATAGTACATGGGCACAACAGACTCAGAAAATATAATAATCTCACATTGACTCTTTATTTCTTTAAATTCATGTGTGCAGAACACTTCGTTTTAATCAATATGATCAACAACCTTAGAGCTGCTATATAAGCTTTTGTGCTTCTAGTGGAGACAGATGAGCATATCAATGTGAAAAGTAGTGTAAATAACTCATTATTTTGTCTATATAATAATATGAGACTAGAACAGAACTGACAGTCAAGTTTTTGTTCTACAAAAATTATTAGAGATATTCTGAAAGTGTGGTCAAACAATTTGAAAAATTCGCTTTATCGATTGTTGAACACTTCTATACTTGTAAGCTAATGAAAGCATAGTTATAACAGAAAAAAAGTTGGATGCCATAAGAGACTATTTTAAAACTTTTGATTTGCTAAACAAATTAGATGCCTATTAAACTTCTAATCTATGCAGCTGGAGATACTTTCCATGTTTTGTTGCATGTTCTCTCACGTTTTACTGGTTAATCTATCTCAACTATAAACAATTTGAATCAGATATATCAAAGAAAAAGTATGAATGTGTGAAGATCGATCAGTTGATCAGCAAATATTTGCGTGTGGTTTTGAGCCTTTTAGAAATAAAAATTTGTGGTACGACGAAAAGAGAGAACGCATATTGAAAAAAAATCGAATTTCAATCTACTTCACAGGTATTAAAATTTTAGAAATATCTGAAAACACTTTATATGATTTGAAATATCCGTAGGTCAATAAAGATATGTTAATTTTAGTGAAACCTTGCTGTATCTTTAAATTTTTTATCAACTGTTAAATGATTGTTTTTGTCACCAACATTCTTATTCAAGAAACCAAATGCTACTCTTAGATTCACTATAACATTACCTGAAACATTTCATTAAATAATTACGCTACTTTCTCCACCACAATTTTTAAGATCGTCAAACGCATATCATTGATTCCCTGATCGGATTATTCATCAAGAAGATAAAGTATAGAATAAAATAAGATTTCTCACTGCTCTAATCCCGCTATATTATCGTTTTGCCTCTTTCAATCTCAACTAATCGAGATATTAATACTTTCTCTAATATCCTTTCTATCACGATAGTTTTTTTGCCTTCTCTCTCCGTAAATCTTCATTCTAGCTTTCAGCATAATACTGACCGTTGCTAATCCTCCTGCTACGATTACGTAGTTAGTTTTCAATGAGCGAAATAGTGAGAAAGGAATTTTGTCGAATTCAACCTTTACTTTCTTCAATGTCTTGGTTTCTGCCGATGTCTACCCTTCAAGTCATCAGTTTTTTGCACTGAATCAAAGCATTGCTTATTTTCAGTGCATGAATTCTATCTTCTGTGTATTAATCCGATCATCGAGTTTTGCTAGTGCATCAGAAACGCATAAAACCAGTGTTTTCTTTAAACCGTCCGAATTTTTCACCAAATTATACCTCTCGTCGATATCATACTTTGCCATTGCTTTGATTTATATGAGCTTTTTCTTATTGAATATTGATGATAGTTTGTCTCATTTTCCACCATATACCGATGCATAGTCAAACTCATTTATTCTCACATATATTTTAGATGCAGATTTCACTATTTCTATTCAGTTTCATTTCACTTTATTTGACTACCAGGAGCGATGATACTACCATCGTTTATCCATCATCTGACAATCAACTAAAATTACAACAAATAATTAACGCTGCTGTGAATCCTACAACAATATTACTTAAGCCCGGTATCTACACAGAATCACTTGTTATTGAAAACAAATTCGTTTCTATAATTGCCCAAAAATCGGATCAAGTTGTTGAATTTAAACCGTTTCAAAACAACATCGCTATTCTTTATCGAAATGGTGGTGGTGGTCAAGTTCAAGGCATACTTTTTACGGGAAACAACGCCACTGGTATTAGTGGTTCTCGTAATGATAAAGAAGAACCTCCTGGCAAAATCGGAATTTTCAATTGTACCTTTAGAGATATTGGAAATGGTGTGATCAATCGATTTACTCACATTTCCATTGTTGGAGTTGCTGTTAATCGAGCGCAGTGGTTTTCCATTGATTTGCGGGGTCTTCTTGAGGATTCAATCACAACCGTTCAAGATATTTTCATTTTAGACAGTGGAAATGGACTTATCCTACGCGAATTAAGTGGTACTTTCGTTTTCTATAATATTGTCTGCCGAAATAATGAAAATGGTGGTCTCATTATTTTTGATACGCTTAGTGGTCCACTAACAATAGTCGAAAGCACATTTGTCAACAATCGAATAGCCAATGTTTTCATTTCCAATTCATATGCCGTTATTGTCCGTGATAGTTTGATTATGAATGCACGTCCCAAATCAGACGATACCTATGGCGATGGATTTGTAGCAATGAAGAACAAGGAACCGATAGAATTACGTACAAGTAGAGTATACGACAATTATCGTGCTGGTGTGAGTATATGGGGTGGTACATTGATATTGATAAACGACTATCTTCATGGGCATAAATTCGATCTCAATTATGAAACTTTTGATGGTATTTCAGGCAACTTTGAGGGTTCAACGGGAAATGTTTGTTCTGATTATCCACCTCGTTACATATGTGCAGCTGTGTCATCAAGATTGGAACCACCTGAACCTATTTCTCCTACACACTGATTGAAGTAATATGTAACATTTTTTTATTCCCAAAAACATAAATCTATTTCTGCCTAATTTTGATTTTCATAATAATTATGCCAAAAAAATTTAAAGTAATCTGACAATGAAATTAACTATCAAAGGTGCTTCGTTTTCCAGATTCAGAGGTAAAAATATTGGAATGATATAGCATATTCTACAATAAAAATATAAGATTCGCTTTTTCGCTATTCCATGACAATACACAAGGACCAAGAAGTAAATATTTGAGAAAAATATTCAAATCTACTGCTAACTATCTTTGCACTTAGTACCTTCACTGTGCAAACCGAGGTCATTGACATTTCTAAAATTGATGAACAATACAAAAGTGTTACCGAAAAAAGGAACATACCAGTATTGCATTTTATTTCTACTATTCAAATCACTTGAGTTCTCATAAAAGTGGTCTAAATGAACTTTATGAAATTAAAATAACAATAAAGTATATCGAATTGATGAACAGAATGACGATATCACACGAAGTGATCCAGAAAAGGAGTGCCTACGAAATAAAGGAACTTATCAAGGAACTAGAGATGGCAAAATGAGTAGAATTTGATGGAGTATTAAATTTCGTCACCAGACGAGTTCCAATCAGTTATGCTGGCTGTCAAGCAAACTATTTCAGAATTTAGCTAAAAGGGTGTAGTTATCCTGATAATTGAAAGCTTGCCAATATAGTATTCTTGAACTAATTGATGTGAGGAGCTCCTCATTCTGACACGAATAGTCCAATCTTTCTTTTGGCAATTCATTTAATCAAAACGCGTACGATCATACGTGGCATGTAAAACCAAGTGATTGTTAAACTATACAGATTGATAATGTTATTTGAATTAGCGAAGCGTATCATCTCTTGACTTAGCAATCGTCGAGTCTATATTACCTTTCGAGAAAGTGAATCAGTAACATTTACATTGGTCGGCCACAAAGTATTGACTGAAGTTCATATTTATTATTTGTTTATTATTGCGCTTTGATCCCATTTACCAATACTCACTCAAGCTATATACTCGCCGATGATCTCGATATGTCCATAATCGCTGACCAATCTGTTGAAAAATTAGATAAATGATCAACTGATGGCTGGATAATACCCCCTAAAAGCGAGTAACTGTTCCATTTCGAGCAGAGAACGCTTTGATAAGAAACAACATCACAACATCAGATCATTTATATGAGAGCAAATGAAACACGAATGAAGAAGAAATCATTAACCCGTTTGCTACCCTTATAAGCAGACGTCAAAATGAAAACTGGTTTATTGAATAGTGATTAATAAATATATGTTTATATTAGTTTTTTTTTTCATTGCTTCTTGATATGTCTAACTTTATGTGGAATGAACCATTTCTCAATAAACGAGAATGATTTCCCTATCAGTTGGTCCAATTGTTCGCTGCTAGATTGAACTTTCGGAAGAGGCAAGGTCAAGAATGTCTAATACATTAGCAGCATAAATCGTTTTCTTGCATTTGAAGACATCTTCGTAATCGAGAATTCGCTTGAGTAAAAGTTTGAAAGGCGCATTATAAGACTCGGATCTTTCAATTCGATCAAGATGAAAACAATTCAAGCACTTTTCCACGAAGACTTTTCTGTCTTCGGATTCAAGAGTCCTATCAAATGATTTACAGTTTTGTCGGATGATAGAACAATATTGCCTTTTGTGTATACGTTCGACATTTTTCGTAAAATGACTATCATAAACAAAATTATGAGAGAGAAATTGCCAAAACATCGTAATTTTCTTATTGTTTTTTATTAATTGTGAAGTTTTAACCATAATAAGATAATTAAAAATAAATTTTGAGCAATATATTAAAAACATACAAGTTAACGATGGTATTTTTATATTGCATTTTTCAATATTGTGAGAGAGTATAAAAATATTTCTTTTTTTGTCGAATCAATAGATTAGAGCTACTGTATCTTGCTTCTCTGACGCTAAGTGTGTTATTGAGAAGATGATATTACTACAACTAACCAAGGGTAGTGAAGCGTGTAGGATTATGTCACTAAAGTATTCTATCCCACAACTAGTCACAACCACATTCCAAAGTGAACTTGATTTAATCATGATTAGTGACATATCTTGTACATACAGAACACCATCGACATATATATGACATACTTTTCTCATTGGAATTTCTCAAAGTTGCCGATATTATGTAGTATGATTCATATTTCAACCAAACCACATCTACTTTTTTTTTATTTCACCAACACTCTTCATTGTTTTTATAACATGCATTAATTAATTGAGAACGAAGAATCTATTGTAATATTAGAAAATAAAAATAGATTTTCAATCATTTTAATATACTAATGCATGAAATGATGATCATTTATAAAAATGATCCCGAAGTTCAATCATATTTGACTTTGGAGCATCAAGAGATGCTCACATTTTTGAAAAACTCTATTCTAAATATGGAAGCATGAGAAGAAAATAATTTATAGTTATGTTTATGACAATGTAAGTGTTATCTTTGCAAAAAGAATTTTAGTTACCACCGATTTCACTTCTTTCTTCTAAGTTTACATTTCCACCATTGGCTACATCTCTCTTCATTCTTTTCTTTCATGTATTGCTGACATTCGCAAATATATTCGATTTGTTCCATCAACGTCACAACATGCTTAAATAGATCGGCTTCATCAAACTATATATACAAACAGTCTGCTTAATGAACGATACTATTTCTTTCCCTAAGAGCACCCATGGCAATAGTAAGTTGTTCGATTTTATTATCATTCACAACTAAAATAATGTTATTTCGTACCAAATACCGAATATTAAAAATAATTCTGTAATATTAAACGCTACTTTTTGTGTGATCCTGATTGATGTCCAAAAATTCGCTTGTCAGAGCTTAATCTAAATAAAACCAGCTCGGAGTTTCAAACTCACGAAAACAAATGCTACACGTTGATCTTAGCCGAAAAGACCGAGAACTGATAAATTAACAAGCACACACAAACTTCTTTCATTTATCTTGTCCATACACATTTCCTATTTGCATCAAACAGAGCAGTCTAGTCTTTTCTAAATAACAACTTTATTCTGCGTGATCCATTGATGATCGATATTTCACAACAATAATACCAGTTACAACATATTCAGACTAAATAGATGGCGTATGTTTTCTACAGATGTTCAATTTCATCAATATTAAATAAATAAAAGTGACGTGACATGATGTTTCTTTCATTTTATGAATGATGTTGCCAATAGCCTGCAAATTTTCGTCATTGCAATATGTATTTGTTCAGATGTGATTATTTTTCTCTTGGTAAGTTGTTGTAAGCAACTTAGCTGGAGGGTATTGAGATGTAACAGCTTGCTTGTGCCGACACATATCATATGGATGAATGTAGAAAAACAGGTGGACTGTATCGAGATAAAGTAAATACCGTGATCTGCATAGTTTCAATAAAACTACTGACAATGCTGACTTGCCAGAGCAACACTTTTAATTATCCACAATAAAAAAAACCCAAGAATCCAGAGTTAGACATATGCAATGGTGTTACTTATTGTTATTTGCTAATTGTGCTGTTGCAACTCTGTAGCTAATAATATGATACATAACTATGCCTAAAGATAAAATACAAAAGATTTTGTTTTTGTTATGGCAGAAAAGCAACTAGCTTTATGAGATTTTTGATGCTGATCAAAGAACTCAAGTTAAGGTTACAGAATTGAATAGTAAAAAAGAGCGTTGATATACTAATAGTATATATACATATAACAAGAGCTGACATGAGTTTCGTCCTTTAAAATTTATTTTTTGCATTCTTCTATACATTGTTTAGAAGAAGATCACAACTGTTTCTTATGCATACTTGTTTGATGTAACTTTCAAATGATGACAAGCTAAACAAAGAATCTGCGTCTATGTATATACGTGTATAGACGGCTAGGAATTGAAGAAGACGAGACAAATGAAAAAATAAAACAGAGAAGAAGAACAGAGAGAATTCCAAGAAGGTACTAGATATCGAAAATAAAATATGATCTAATACAGCCAGCACATATCATAACGAAATACTATTATGAAATTCTCTAATGAAATATAATATTTGTGGTCTGATCATGATAACTCGATTCATAAACATCGTTGTGATACATACATGTGCTGTGATTAGGTCTAGTCATTATCAATGATTTATTACATCGAAATTATCAATGAAATGTTTTTCTCCCTACTACCCGTTTAATGCTTGATTATATGTAAAGAAATTAATATGTAAATTTGTAGACAAGAGGAAAGACAGCAATAGATCTTATTCATTGAATGTGAGACAAAAAGTGAGACGAGATCACTTTTGCATATCCTTATAAAAACTTCTATAACTTTGTGTTATAATCACTATCAAAATCACCGAACTTATTTCACATTTCGTTGATGCTGCCGTTGAAGAAGGAATGTGTAGCTTTATACTTTCTCTGGATAGGGATAGATATGTCTTATGATGTTGTGAGTTTCGTAAAGAGCCTTGACAAAACGAACTTCTAAAGAGTACAGACCATCGGCAATTATAAACTTAAAATATCTTTATGTCCTCTTTAGAAAACAATGTTAAGAACACGTCTTTCTATGTTCAAAGCCGAAGAAGTCACTGTCATTTACGAGGTGATGAGCAATGACAAAAATCTGCTGAACATTCATTTTCTTATTGACCGAACATTTATTTAAACTTACCTGTATAGATGTATAAAAAGAAAAATGTGAATAGATAATGAATCGGTTGACAGTCAGGACACTGTCTTTTTCTTCACATAAGGTGACGAATAATAATAGTATGGTTGTCTACGTTTATTTTTATAATGGGAGAGCGCTGCTTTCAACTCACATATGCAGCTACGTAGGGAGATTTATATTAATGGTTGATTTGTCAATTGTAAGGCCAAACATTATTACACGCTGATTAATGCAATCAGCCATGACGCACGTTTCTCATACACATTC